TTTTTTCTTCCCTATCGCTCCTGAATACATTGTAGCCAGAAATATTCAGTTCCCATTGCTGCCCTTGTTTGAGCCAGGTCTCCGTTATAATCCCATGTTATAACCCCATGTGGCAACTTGAGCCTGCAGCTCAAATCGTATTTATCACACTCCGTGCATTTACGCACATGCACTCCAAGACTGCATTTCTCCGCAGTCTAATCCCTCCTTTTTCTGGATTACCCCTTATTACATTGCTATTGATCTCTTCCAGCCCTCTATGTAACTTGTTTGTCTTACCTGATGCTACATCCTGATTCCCTTCTCCTCTCAAAATTAGTTTAAACCCCAGTTAACCTCCCTGTGAGGACATTGGTCCCAGCCCTATTCAGGTGTAACCCACCCACCTTGTACAGGTCCCATCTGCCTCAGAGCTGGTCCCCATGATCCAGGAACCTGAATCCCTCCTTTCTGCACCATTTGTCCAGCCATGCATTTATGTGTTTGATCCTACTGTTTTGATACTCACTTGCACGAGGCACTGGGAGTAATCCATAGATCATCACCTTTGAGGTCCTACTCTTTAGTTTTTTCCCTAACTTCTGATACTCTCCCTGTAGGACCTCAATCCTTTTATTCCCTGCATCATGGATCCCAACATGGACCACGACTTCTGGATGTTCCCCTTCCCCCTGTAGAATATTTTGCACCCATCCCATGATGTCTTCAACCCTGGCACCAGGGAGGCAACATACCATGCGAGAGTCACGTCTTTGTTGCAGAAACACCTGTCTACTCCTTTCACCATTGTATCCACAATGACACTTGCATTGACTCCCTTCCCTGTCTCCCCCTGTGCATCCATTTGCTTTCGACTCTTCTCCCCAGAGGTGTCATCATCCTCACTGTTATTCAGTACAGAGAATCGGTTTGTGAGTGCCACGCTTTCGGGATTTCTGGACTGCCTGTGCCCTCTTCCTACCATGCCGGGTGGTCACCCACTAACTCTCCTTCTGAACCCTCTGTGGCTGTGGGGTGACCACCTCCTGGAATGTTTGATCCTTGAAGCATCTCTTGAGCATCCAATATGCTATGTAGTGACACCAGCCGCTCCTCAAGCTCAGAAACTCTGAGCTCAAGCAGCTGGAGGCACTTCCTATACACGTGTTTGTGTAGGGCACACAAAGCATCCTGGAGTTCCCACATAGCACACATTGTGCATGCAATCAGTCTCAGCTGCCCTGCCATATTCCCAGACATGTTTTATATTATTGTAATATAACTATTATATATTTTATAATTCTGCACTTCTTTCCCCCTCTGCACTGAATTCCCACTGTCACCAAATTCTTTAACAGAATTCTCACTTTGTTCCACCTCACTCAGTTCCCTCCTCACGCTGCTGGGCTCTCTGTTCAAGTGAGGCACTTGCAAGTCTTCTCCTTTATATAGCGCTCAAACAAAAGCACCCAGTTTCGACTGGTCAGCGGATTTTTTAATCCCCTACACCTGGTGATTAACTGTTAATTGACTTGTTAATTGCCTGCTTACATATTGTGAAAAACATTATAAAACTGAAATTAAAAAACTGCAGTGCAGCGTACTAGTGGTGTGTTCAAAAAGAGATCAGTAACTTCATAAGCAATGTAAATCTTTGATTGTAAACATAATCAATTACAGTCAGTACTCTTGACACCTAGTGGGGTTGGAAAAATGGATACATTACAGTGCTGGTTTGAAGTATTATGGAAAAACCTATTCTATTCCTTCTTCAACATAAAAGGCAATTTGCCTTGATTGATGTACCCATAGGCATTATCTTTTGAGCGTAGTTCAGCAAAATCATTTAAATCAAATGTTATAATGTCCAGTAATTTATGTTAAATAATGACATTTGCAATACTTTAAAATATCAAGCCTAATTTGTTTTGGTCAGCTGAGTGATGAATACGTGCGGAAACCTATCACCATGCTTACAAGTATCCAAACCAAACTGCGAATTCCATGCATCCCACCTACACATGGAAATTCCACGGATAGATTGTTGAATGGAATGCGCACTGTCTCCCTGGAGGGACGCATCCTGTTTATAATAATAATGATTATAATACTTGCATTTGATATAGTGCTTTTCACGTCTTCTAGACGTCTCAAAACGCTTCACAGAATAATGGTAAAGTGAATTGACTGTATATTTATGAACGAAACGCAGCAGCCAATTGCGCACAGCTGTGTCCCACAAATAGTCGTGGAATAAAGTGACGCAATTTATTAGTTTTTTTTCTTGAGGGTTTATTATCAGGGGTGTGGAGTAAGGATACTTGCCCATCGTTTCGCTCTGCCAGGAATCGAACCCAGGTCTCTCGCTTGCGAGGCGATGCTCTGACCACTGAGTTACAGGACTCCACACAACTCCAGGACTGCTGGAAAAGAAACAGCCAATCCTGCACATTTTATTAGTACAAAGCGCAAGTAAACTTCCCACTGCTTAGCCAGCTAAATCACTGTACTGTTATATATTGATTACCATGCCCTCCCTCGCATCCCATTGAAATCCAGGCAGGTAGGTCAAGCATCATCCATGCCCTTGAAAACTTCAGATACATATGTCACAAATATTGACTTGACTCAGCTCAGTTCTCCCTTCATCATGGAGCCATTCGGACTGCACTACGCCCACGCAGGATAGTCACATTTAGTTTATGTTAATGGTGGTGAATAAATGTGAGTTATATTATAGCCAAATCAAATACAATTACCACTTATTGCTCATATGTTTCAGAACTTAGAATGATTATATATAATTTAATCAATTTTAGAAGTCCTCTTTAATTAAGGCATTAAAAGTACAATTCCAGAAAATATTAGGCGCAGGTTGGCAACAGCCAAAGTTTGGGGACCCCAGAGTGTGCTAGAGTCTAACTCGCTAAGACCATAAAGTTTGCCATCGATATCGCTGTCTGGCAAGCTTTCCCGCGGCTTGTCCAGCTGGGACCACACTACCCATTAGGGCTTTGGCTTGCAGGGTTAACAGGAGCTGAGTGGGATGACTCCCTGTCCCCAGTGATTGGTCTGCCCTTCCAGGTCCTGCCAATGAGCCAGTCTGGCTGAACTGTCATCAGCAGTGACCTGGAATACTGCAGACTGACGTAGCTCAGGAACTGGACTACCGAAACCACCAGGGCTGGCTCAATTCCGACATTTCATTGCCAAGAGTTATAAAACTTTCTTTTTATTGTTAAAACCATTGTTCAAGTTTTGTTTTCGGGCGTGACTCATATGGTGTCAGAATTGTGACCGCCTTTAGCTGTGGACTAGAAATTTTTGTCCTTGTGAATCATTGCCCAGTGGCTCTGCCAACTTTCATCATTCCTATTTGCCTTCCGGTCTTTTTGATCGCAGGGAGCCCTGCTCCGCTGCCGCTTTCCCATTCTTTACATTATCTATTTTCTCCGCCAAATTTACTCCCACCCCCCCCCCCCCCCCCATGGGTTACTTCCCCCTCTGTCATACTGCTCTCTGTCTCTCCGCTCCTTCTCCCTCCCATGCCTCCAAATCTTCCCCACAGTGACTGACCAAAAACAGGCTGAACCTTGGGTCTCCCTAAACATGGAGAAAACTGGCCCTTTGCGAGCCCTTCTTCCAGCCTCCACTCAGGTCCAGCTTGATATAATTGTCCTCACTCAGTTTCTGGTCATGTTTTGCTCACCTCACCCTATAGAAAGTACTGACCCTGACTCAGCTCACAAAACTCCAGCAATAATCTCCTCCTCCTTTGGTGCCCCCTCCACACCGCAGAACAGTGTAGTTCTGCTTTGTGCTCATTCATAAACTATTAACAATAGTATTATGGGATTAATAATGACCATATTTTGTACTCCTAACAAGCTGTGTGTATGTGCTGTTTCCTAGATTGTTCTTGCACAAATGTTTCCCTATGTTGCCAATTCAACAGGACAAACATACATTTGTTTTATAATCCAGGAATTAAGAGTTTTTTGGTTAAATGGAAGAGATTTTTAGATAAGAAGTCTTTGGGGAAGACAGTCCTGTGTGATTTAACCATATCATTGTATTGATTCTCCATCCTCATCCAAATATCATCTCCCTGTCTCAAAATTTGGAGGTATATCCTGCCCTTTTATCATGGTTACCCTATTTTTACAGTCTTTAGTAATGTATAAATTATATGCATATATCAATATATAATATTGTTTAAGGGCAATGGGGAGACCTGTTCTTTTAAATGGATTCTGTTGACGAGATACACGAGCTGCAGCAATGTGCAGGTCCAGGGCTGTTTGATTGACAGCAGTTAACGAGCTGCCTGGAGAGTAAAATAACAGGTGGGCGGCAGACGGTGCCACACGCCTGTGAAAGGCGCTCCTTGTGGTCGGTAACAAATGGTTGTTACGTGGTGTGCACTGATTATGTACAGCATTACTGCACAGTCAGGTTGGCTTAATATCTCTAATAATGTCGTATTGTTCTGCCAGTTGTTATAGTTATGTGTGTCAGTTATATTTAATTCCATTGTTATATATCTTAAATTGTTGTGTTCTTTATCTACAAGGGAGCCTCGGGTTGCTGGTCTTAATAAACAGCTCAACAGCTGTTGAATGTATCCTCGAGTGTCTGTAATATTCTAAAACAAGGAAAGGAGTAAAGACTTCAGAGAGTAGTTGTCAACATCGGCGATCTGCCAGTGCGCGCAGACTCTGACTAGACATTCCAGTTACTGGGCATTGGAGTTAACTGGGAATACTGGTCTGTGTGTGACTCTGACTCGGTTTAAACCCATGAAAGTTATAAAGACTTTTCAGACAAAGTTCTGCTTGTCATTAAAACTAAATGTAATTCTTCACATATGAAACTTTCTAACAGGGTTAAAAAAACAGCTAATTGTCATACGCCCACACACTTAACAAATTCATTTAAATAAGTTTTTTAAAAAATTATTTTTTCTAAAGTACTTATTGTTTGTAGCTCAAAACTTATTCATTTCATCTTCTGCCTTCCAGGAAACGGTTTCTTCACTCCAAACTGTCACCCACAAGGTAGGAAAACTTAAAATGCGGACAATGTCTTGATCATGGTCTAAGCCTAACATTTGCTTAAAAATTCTTCCTGGTTCAAGGAGAGTGTGTTTTTAGTTGATGAAGCCCACAAAATATATAGACATTATTACTTAAAATTTACCTTTTTGAACAAAAGCAGTCTCGTGAGCTGAATAAAAGGCAATTCCACTTCCCTGGAAGGGATATCTACCTGGTTAGTTCCTGAACATTCCTTAACCAAGACAAGGAACACTAAAATAGACTGCAGCTCATAGCCCTAAATGGTGTAAATCTCAACTACTGTAGGTGGCTCCGTGTCGGTATTTTGAACTTGTAGTCTAGGCGAACACCTCAATTTATTGCTGGATGGGTGCTGTATTGTCAGAGTTATCCTTTGGGTGAGATGTTACACCAATGTTACACCCATCTGCTTCTTGAGGGGGATGTTAAAGATCCATGGTGAAATTTGGAAAGAGAATGGAGCCTCTCTTGTGACCTGGCCAGCAATACCCTGCATACAATTATCATTCACTTCATGTCTGATTGTGTGACATTGCTGCATGCAAATTGGCTGCCATATTTGCCTACAAATACACAGCAAGTTGTGTTTTAAAATGTCTCAACAACAATATAAGTTGCTATACCAAATGTTATGATTATTATTATACTGAAAATTATTAATGTTTTACATTTTTTAAAGGGACACATTTTTCATAGAATCATAAGAAGCTACAGAATAGAAGGAGGCCATTCGGCCCCTCGTGTCCATGCTGGCTCTTTGAAAGAGTGTCCAAATTAATCCCAACTCCCTGCTCTTTCCTCATAGCCCTGTAAATTTGTCCTCCCCAAATATCTATCTACTTCTGTCTTAAAAGTTGTTATCAAATCAGCTTTCGCCATCATTTCAGGCAATAATTTCCAGATCCGAACAACTTGCTGTGTGAAAAAATTCTCCTCACCTCAACTCCGTTTCCTTTGGCAACTATTTCAAATCTGTGTCCTCTATTTATCGACCCACCCATCAGTAGAAACAGTTTCTCTCTGTTCACCTTATCGAACTCCTTCATAATCTTGAACACCTGTATTAAATCTCTCCTTAAACTTCTCTGCTCCAAGGAGAATAATGGTCTTCACTAGTCTCTTCATAACTGAAGACACTCATTCCTGGCACCATCCTGGTAAATCTCCTTGAATAATAATAAACTTTGTATTTGATATAGCGCTTTTCATGTCTTTTCGACGTCTCAAAGCGCTTCACAGAAGATACTGTAAAGTGAATTGACTGTATATTTTGTGGGCGAAACGCGGTAGCCAATTGCGCACAGTGGTGTCCCACAAACAGTCGTGGTTTGAGTGAACAAATTATTATTATTGTAAGCGAGAGAGAAAGGGAGGAACTGATATTAACCCCTACCAGAAGGTGATCTGGCCGTTGCTGGTGACCGTGTATTTAATGTTGGTATGAAGTTCTAACTGCCAGGAGCTTGTGCTCAGATTCTCCCTGTTCTGTGTTCTCTCTACCCACTGTGGGCCAGACCTGCTCCCTGTGAGACAGTGTGGGGACTGTATAAAGGTTTTGAAATCTAATTGACGTTGTGACTCACCTGGTTTTCCCGACTGATGGGTTACCTGGTAGATTGTGATAAGTCTCTCATCTAATATTTTAAGCCAAATAGTGATAGTGAAGAACGCTGGTCGGTAGGTGAGCAGGAGATGGGAGGGAGCACTTTGAGAGCTGGAGGAGACAATGGCTAACCTGTTATATTGAGAAGTGAAAGGACTTGCAGCCACGTCAGTATTGGGAAGTGCGGTGGGGAGGTGAAGAGGTGTAACAACCACAGCACGATGGGGGAGGAGATGAAGGAAAGAGAGAGAGCAAGGAGTTAGGAGGAGTTCCGGGCGTTGGGGCTTGAAGGTTTGGCAGTGTTGGGGGCTGAGGGTCTGGCAGTGTTGGAGGCTGTTGGGCTGAGGGTCGGGCTGTGAGTCAGGTTGTGTTGGGGGCTGAGGGTCAGGCTGTGTTGGGGGCTGAGGGTCGGGCTGTGTTGGGGGCTGAGGGTCGGGCTGTGCTGGGGGCTGAGGGTCGGGCTGTGCTGGGGGCTGAGGGTGGGGCTGTGCTGGGGGCTGAGGGTCGGGCTGTGCTGGGGGTTGAGGGTCGGGCTGTGCTGGGGGCTGAGGGTCGGGCTGTGCTGGGGGCTGAGGGTCAGGCTGTGCTGGGGGCTGAGGGTCGGGCTGTGCTGAGGGTCAGGCTGGGCTGGGGGCTGAGGGTCAGGCTGGGCTGGGGGCTGAGGGTCAGGCTGGGCTGGGGGCTTTGCACATCCTTCCTAAAGTGTGGTGCCCAGAACTGAACACAGTACTCTAGCTGAGGCCTAACCAGTGTTTTATAAAGGTTCATTATAACCTCCTTATGTTTGTATTCTATGCCCCTATTTAGAAAGCCTAGCACCCTGTATATTTTTTTAACAACTTTATCTACCTGTCCTTCCACCATCAAAGGTTTACTTATATGAACTTCCTGGTCTCTCTGCTCCTGAACCCCCTTTAAGATGTATCATCAGCTTATATCGCCTCTCCTCATTCTTCCTCCCAAATGCATCACTTCGCATTTCTCTGCATTAAATTTCATCTGCCACGTGACTGCCCATTTTACCAGTCTGTCTTTGTTCTCTTTCTGTTGTTATTATGCTCCTCACTACTTTTCTTAGCTTTGTATCATCTGAAAACTTGGAAATTGTACACCCTATACCCAGGTTCAGGTTGTTTATATAGATTAAAAAATAATACCAACCCCTGGGGGACACCACTGTATACTTCCTTCCAGTCAGAGAAACAACTGTTCACCACTACTCTGCTTTCTATCCTCCAGCCAGGTTTGTGTCCATGCTGCCATTGTCCCTTTGATACTGTGGGCTTCTATTATGTGGCACTTTAACAAAAGTCTTTTGAAAATCCATATATACTACATCAAAATACCTTAATCCAGCCTCTCCGTTACTTCATCCAAAAACTCTCAAATTTGTTAGACATGATTTTCCTTTTACAAATCCATGTTCAATCACTTTAAGGTTCATTTTAGTTTCCAGTTCTCACACCTTTCAATAGTTAATGGCTACGTCTGAACATTTGAAATGAACTGCTCAACGGATGAGTTGAGTCAGGATTAATTGCTTAAATTACTAACTTTTTGTCGAATATCTAGGTTTAGCTGTTGCAAACAAAGTCACTTATCGTTTGGTAAATTCATCAATTCAATTAAGTGGATTTCTTCTGAATGAAAGGTGGATGCCTACTCCTTTTTGGCTCTGAATTATATCCGCGGCACAACTGGCACCGCCTTCCATCACCTCCGGAATGTCGCCAGACTACGGCACTACCTCACCCCTCACGCTGCTGAAACTCTGGTCCACGCCTTTATCAGTATCAAAGGTCCACGCTCCCCCTTGGTGACATCATCCACAAACATGGGGTTAACTTCCACATGTGTGCGATGACACCCAACTCTACCTTTCCTCTTCTGCCCTCAACTCCACGACCACCGATGTCCTGACAGCTGCCTGTCCGACATCGAGTCCTGGGCGAGAGACAACTTTCTTCAGCTCAATGTGCGCAACACTGAGGCCCTCCTGATTGGCTCACGTCAGCGCCTCCGCACCTCAGGGGCTGACAGCATCAGCATCCAAGGCTGCACTCTCCACCTCTCAAAGCCACTCAGGAACCTCGGCGTTCTGTTCGACCCTGAGCTGTCCTTTCTTCCCCACATCCACGCCACAACTGGCACTGCCTTCCATCACCTCCGGAACTTCGCCAGACTACGGCATTACCTCACCCCTCACGCTGCTGAAACTCTGGTCCACGCCTTTATCACCTCAAGGCTGGACTACGGGAACGCTCTCCTCGTCGGCCTTCCCGGCACCTCCCTCCACAAGCTGCAGGTCATTCAGAACTCTGCAGCTCGTGTACTGTCCCGCACCAGGCTTCGGGAACACATCACTCCCACCCTCGCTCGCCTCCACTGGCTCCCCATCCCCAAAGGATCGAATTCAAGATCCTCATCCTCACCTACAAGGCCATTCACGGCCTTGCTCCCTCCTACCTCTCCGACCTACTATCCCCCTACTTACCTGCCCATACCCTCCGTTCCTCTGGCTCCGGTCTGCTCCACATCTCCCGCCCTAACCGCCCTACCATCAGTGTCCGGGCCTTCAGCCTCTCAGCCCCTAGGCTCTGGAACTCCATCCCCCAGTGCCTTCGCCGCCTCCTCCCTTTCCTCCTTCGAGGCCGGTCTCAAGACCTTACTCTTCAACCGTGCCTTCAGCTCCCCTCTCGACTCTCTACCCCCTTCCCTCCCCTCCCCCAATGACCATTTCCCCCCTGCTCGGGTCCCGACCCAACTGTCCAGCGCTTTGGGACGTCCTCCCGATGTGAAAGGCGCTCAATAAATGCAATCTTGTTGTTGTTGTTGCGGAGTTTCACCCACAAAATACACAGTCAATTCTGTGTATATTCTGTGAAGTGCTTTGAGACATCTCAATGTTGTGATAAGGCGCTATATCAAATTAAAATATTATTATCATTTACAATCCCATCAAAAGAATAGTTACTAATTTGAATGAGAGAATATGTATTTGGAAGATATAATATTCATTAACAAGTTGGTTTGAGGAATGTTAAGTGATGAGCGTAGTTTTTCTTTAAAGACACAGCAAGCGCTCAGGTGGCAGGGTAGTGCAGACAAAATGCAGTGGAGGTGGCAGTAACAAGCGTTGATATGTTGCAGATTTGACTTTTTGCTGGGAGCACAGGAAAGCTCAACACCTCCTGCCTCTCAGGGGCTGCAATGGCACACAGACACAGAGACTCAGAGAGAGAGACACAGACACAGAGAGGGACATATACTCGTAAACACACCCAGAGAGAGACGCATTCACAGACAGAGAGAGGCGCACACAGATACTCCACAGACACACACTCATAGACATAGAGAGACACGCACTTACAGACAG